ATTTCCACTTTCTCCCCGCGACTCCCCATGTGATAACGTCCTAAGTCTGCTGCCACCATGCAGAATTAATGTAGTTTGACACTGCTTTAATTGCCACAGCTCCATTCTATGGAATCCATGAATTTGCAGTTTGTTGTAAAATCAGAACTCTCCGACAGAGAAAGAGCAATATCTCACAAAACTACAAATTGCAGAATTCCGTAACATTGAGCCGTGGCAGCTAAAGCAGTGTCTACCTGCATTTCTTTTTCCGTGTAAATGCACCCCTAATCTCTGGGGCAGCAGAAAGCTAGCTTGCTCCATCCTCATGACATCCCCTCAAATATTTGAATATGGTTGTCATGTCACCCCTTAACCTTCTCTTCTCCAGGCTAAACATGCTCCCCATAGTGCTTGATGGTTTCCAGACCTTTCACCATTTGGTTGCCCTCCTCTGGACACGCTTTTCAAGGCTGTGCGAGATTTTGGCAGTGCAAATTCAGCTAGACGGGTCCAGGTCTGACCATGTCCGGCAGTCTTAACCAAAAGGATTACACTCGGAATCTAGTGGTTCTACTATTATTATTTCAGTTTCACAATGGTCCAGGTATTACTAACTGATTCAGATTCTGAAACTGTAGGAACCAGTCAGGTATTGTCATAATGCCATACCCTCAGGATGATCAGACATCTTCCTTCTCCAGGACATGTCCTACATTTCAACTTTCTATTCAGAAGGAATTTCAAAATGTCCTCCATTTTGATCATGACTAAGAAGCACAAATTTATATTACCGGTAGCGTTTCTAGCTTTTATTTTGTAAAGTCCTACATTTTTCTTGAATGCTCTATATTTTGCAGTGCCTTCTTCTCCTTTACAGTTATGACATCTGGTCACCCTGCATACCCTCCAATGGAAATAAGCCTAAGACAAAGAGAGAAAATGGGAGGAGGAGAGAGAAGCTGGAAAAGTGCTTCAATTGTTTGGATTTGGTAGAGACAGGACTTATTAATCCTCTGCCATCCCACATTTTCCAGCTGTTTTTAAAATGTCCCAGCTTGTCCCCTTTTGTCCTCAGCTTATTTCAATTGCTGCAGAGTTCAAACTGCAAAAATAGTTTGCACTCCATTAACTCCGCAGAGAGGTGGGGGCAGAATCTTGCACTTCCCAAAAGGTGCAGACAAAAGCAAACTGCTGCGTCCTTTTCTAACTTACTTCTCCTTTCTTATTCATACCTGTTGCTGTCTTGACCACACTTTGATGTATTACATGGCCACATTTGTCCCAGTTTCTATCCATAAAATGTTGGAAGATATACTCCTGGATTACTTCCATCAGCACTTCATTGCTGGTAGGAAGCTATTGTACCTAAACATGTCCCCATATGGTTCCTCTCATCTTAGGTGGATCTGCATCCTTGTTCTCTCCATCATTTCTCCTCAATGTGCCTTTATTTTTGGAGTAACCTCTTGGGGGGGGGGTCTGAATTCAAGCTGAGTTAGTCCGAAAAATCAGTATGCAAAGGGATCTTGTAGCACCTTTGAGACTACTGGTATCTTGGGAAAGACAGACACTGGTAGCATGTGCTTTCGTAGACCTTGTATGAAATCTCATGCCATCAGAGTTACTCTCAAAAGTGCTACAAGATTCCTTTGCATTCTGATTCTTAGGGGGTCTGTCACGCAATGTTGTATTTTGTCCTCAAAAGCCCACTTTGCTCTGATCTTTCAGGAAGGAAATGACCAGATTTGTCTTGGTTTGTGGGCAGTAGCCAAAGGAGCATCTGATTTTCCCCCAGACCCCCTGGGAGCAAGAAAGCAAGGCTAAAGATGACCGAAAAACCTAAAAGCAATTTGAGAAGGGGGAAGGAGGGAAAGGGTGGGACTCTGGATTTGACCCGCTTTCCTGTCTGAGATGTTGATGAAAGTGCAAAAGCTGGAGGTCTCCCGAAGAGGAAGCAACTGGATGGGAGGAGAAGGCAAATACCATCCTGAGGAGCATTGACTTTTGCCTAAAATATCTGGATTTGTCTTTTTTAAAAAGCATCGTTTACTCTCCTAGCTCTACAGAGCCCATCAAATGAATTCCTTTGGATTCTTAATTCCTGGAGGTTCATGGTTAGAAGAGATAAAAATCCTTCCATCAGGTCCAGCATTTCATGAGCTGGCTGATGGGTCCATATCCCTTGGGGATCATGGTCTGTCCACACAAGAGGGCTTTGAACAGAAGGCGCTATGTTCCAACACACTTTGAAAGGTCCATCCATTTATGTCCATCCGGAAGGTGGATCAGGACCAAAGACTGATGATGGCTTATTAGTTATGTCCCAGCTAGATAGAGGAGACCCATTCGGTGGATTGTTGAAAAGTGAGTCTATGCATGCAGGAATCTCA